TTTCCAGTTTCACATTGAGGTCTTTGATCCATTTGGAGTTGACTTTTGTGCAAGGTGAAAGATAAGGATCTAGTTTCATTCTTCTACAGGTGGAGATCCAGATTTGCCAGCACCATTTGTTGAAGATGCTGTATTTCCTCCATTGTGTGTTTTTGGCACCTTAGTCAAATATCAGGTAGCTGAAATTGCATGTACTCGGGTTTGGATCTTCAATGATGTTCCATTGATCTATGTGCCATTTTTGTGCTAGTACCATGCTGTTTTATGACTATAGCTCTGTAGTATACTTTGAGATCTGGTATAGTAATCCCCCTAGCATTGCTCTTTGTGCTCAGGGTTGCTTTGGCTATCTGGGGTCTTTTGTGCTTCCATATGAATTTAAGGATTTTTTTTTTTTTCTAATTCTGTGAGGCATGTCATGGGGATTTGATTGGGATTGCATTGAATCTATATGTTGCTTTCGGTAGGATGGTTGTTTTCACAATATTAATTCTTCCAATTCATGAGCATGGGAGATCCTTCCATCTCCTGATGTCTTCTTCAGTTTCTTTAATGATTTAAAAATTTCATTGTAGAGATCTTTGGTGTCTTTGGTCAGATTTATTCCAAGTTATTTTAATTTTTTGCAGCAATTATGAATGGAAGCATTTCCCTATATTCTTTCTCCAGTTGCTTGTTATTGGTATATAGAAAGGCTACTGATTTTTTGTAGAATGATTTTATAACCTGCCACTATACTGAAAGAGTTGATCAGTTCTAGGAGTTTTCTGGTGAAACTTTTGGGATCTCTTAGGTATAGTATCGTATTATCTGCAAAAAGTGATAGTTTGACCTCTTCCTTTCCAGTTAGTACTCCTTTACTTTACTTTCCTTTTCCTGTCTCATTGCTCTAGCCAGAGTTTTGAGTACTATGTTGAAAAGGTGTGGAGATAATGGATATCCTTGTCTGGTTCCTGATTTTAATGGGAATGCTTCCAGTTTTTCTCCATTTAGAATGATGTTGGCTGTGGGTTTGTTGTATATAGCTTTAATTATGTTGAGGTATGTTCCCTCTAGTCCAGTTCCCTCTAGGACTTTGAACAGAAATGCATGTTGAATTTTGTCAAAAGCCTTTTCTGCATCTATTGAGATGACCATGTGGTTCTTGTCTTTGAGTCCATTTAAATGATTAATAACATGTATTGACTTGTGTATATTGAACCATCCCTGCATCTCTGGGATAAAGCCTACTTGATCGTGGTGGATGATCTTTTTGATGTGTGTCTCTATGCAGTTTGCAAGTATTTTGTTGAGAAATTTTACATCTGTGTTCATTAAGGGTATGGGTCTATAGTTTTATTTTTTGGTTGTGTCTTTACCCGGTTTGGGTATTAGAGTGATGCTGGCTTCATAGAAGGAATTTGGGAGTTCTCCCTCTGTTTCTATCGTTTTGAATAAGTAGTATTGGGCGGAGGTCTTCTTTAAATATCTGGTGGAATTCTGCTCTAAATCCTCTGGGCCTGGGCTTTTTTCAGTTGGGAGGCTTTGTATTACTGTTTCAATTTCCTTATATGTTATGGGTCTGTTTAAACTGCTGATCTCTTCTTAGTTTAACTTTGGTGGTTCCCATGTTTTTTGATATCCATCCACTTCTTTTAGATTTTCAAATTTAGTAGCATATAGGTTTTTAAAATATTCCCTTATGGTCTGGATCTTTTGGGTGTCTGTTGTGATGTTTCCCCTTTCATCTCTGATTTTGTTGATTTGGATTTGCTCTTTCTTTTGGTTAACCTGGCTAAGGATCTGTCTATCTTGTTTAGCTTTTCAAAGAAACAGCTCTTAGATTCATTGATTCTTTGTAGTGTTTACTTTGTTTCTATTTCATTAATTTCTGCTCTGATTTTTGTTATTTCTTTTATTTCTTCTCTTCTGCTGGGTTTGGGTTTCATTTGTTCTTGCCTTTCCAGTGTCTTGGGTTGCAGTGTTAGGTCATTTATTTGGGCTCTTTCTGTTTTTTTTAACATAGGTACTTTCAGCTATAAACTTCCCTCATAGGATTGCTTTTAAAGTATCCCAGAGGTTGTGTTGTGTTGTATTGTTCTATTTGTTTAATTCCCGGAATTCTTTTTTTTTTTCTTAATTTCTCCTTTGACCCACTCACTGTTTAGGAGTGTGTTGTTCAAGTGCCACGAGTTTGTGGAGTGACTAGAGCTTCGTCCAGTGTTGATTTTTAGCTTTTTTGCATTGTGGTCTGATAGTATGCATGGAATTATTTCATTTTTTTTGTATTTGTTGAGGTTTGTTTTGTGGCCCAGTATGTGGTCAGTTTTTGAAAAAGTTCCTTGGGGTGCTGAGTACAAAGTGTATTCTTTGGTGCATGGGTGGAATATTCGAAAGATGTCTGTTAGGTCCATTTGATGTATGTTATCATTTAATTCAGATGTCTCTCTGTTTATTCTTTGTCCAGTTGACCTGTCTAATGGAGACGGTGGGGTATTGAAGTCCCCTACTATTACTGAGTTGGGGTTAATGTGTGTCTTAAAGTCCTATAGTGTTATTTTTGTGAATTTGGATGCACCAGACTTTGGTGCATACATGTTAAAGATTGTAATATCTTCTTGGTTAACTGCTCCTTTGATCAGAATAAAGTGACCCTCCTTATCTCTTCTGATTAGTTTTCCTTTGAAGCCTATTTTGTCAGATATTAGAATTGCAACCCCTCCTTGTTTCTTAGTGCCATTTGCTTGGAATATTCTTTTCCATCCTTTTACCTTAAGGTAGTGCCTGTCCTTGAAGGTGAGAAGGGTTTGTTGCAGACAGCAAAGAGATGGATTTTGTTTCTTAATCCATCTATTTAGCCTGTGTCTTTTGACTGGAGAGTTTAGTCCATTGATAATTTAAGGTTATTATTGAAAGATGTGTATTGGTTGCCTTCGTTTTGATTGCTGTTTGTGTTCTCTAATTTTGTGTTTCCTTGCTTATACCTTTGTTTATTTTCTTCCATTGCCCCTGGGGTATATTTGTTTCTCTCTCTACTCTCTGTATTGCTTCAAGTA